CAAGAAGCGACCGGCGGAGAAGGTGGCGCGGGTGAGCGGGGCCGGGTGGAGGACGCGCTGACAGGGCCGGGCACGGGCTTCACGTGGCGCCGAGAGAGGAGCTGCCAACGCCCCGGGCGGAGCTGCCTCCTTGGCCTGGCGGCGGCGCAGCACCCCTTGTTGGCTTGGGGCAGCTGCGAGGTCTCCAGGCTGAGGGGCTGCGGAGCAAAACCCCGGGTGGGGCCGAGATGGATGGGTCTGGGGTCCATGGGGCCCGGTGGTAGCAATGCCCAGGTCGGGGGCGGGGGGCTAATGCAGCCAGCGCCTGCCGGGCACTGCAACAGGTTCCCAGTTGCAGCTCCTTTGGAGGTGCTTCCTGTCGGTGAAAAGATGCAGTGAAGTCCTTAATCATTAGAGGGACACTTCTGAGGGGCTGCAGCCATCTGATAGGTGTGGTGTCCAGTGAGGAGCGCTCTGTCTGAAGTAACCGTTTATTATAAAGGCTTCTTTGCTTTTTTTTCCCCAAGAAAAACCTTTATAAATCCCTTGTAGGGATCAGTCTGTGTTGATAGTGCTTAGCCTGCTGTATGTGGGGCTAGAGAGCAAACTTTTTAGCTGTCAGAGTACTGAAAAACTAGAGCTGGTGAAATACTGCATTGTAAAGAACTAAGAGCATGAAAGCTGAGCACCTGGGAGGAAGGAGGATGGGTTTTAGTTTGACTTTCAAATTTTGGTTCATAACCATTTTTAGAGAGAAGATATTTAGATTTTAAACATGCAGCATCTTGTTCTTCTATAAAGCAGCACACAGTAAACATCTGGGCCCCTGGCAGTCCAAAAAAGAGACTGAAGATTATTATTCAGAAGAAAAATGAAAACAGCATCAAAATAATAATAACTTTTTTTTAAGGCTTTTTCCATGAAGAGGCAAAAAGGGTGTATGTGGGAGAGCAGTGCATGCACAGAAAGCACAAAGTTTGCAGGTCACCTTTGAGGCATTCTTAAAACTACTTCAAGGAGAGAGTAAAAATGATACTTTCAGGTTGACGTGGCCCCAAAATTGTGGAAAAAACCAAAAAGTTTACCAGTGATTTCCTTCTAAGTGTGTACTAAATGGTAACTTGCAGTGAAGTTTCTTGATTCATTAAATACTATACAGCATTGTAAAATATGCTAGAAAAATTGAAATGTACTGTACAGAATGTTTGTTAGCCAAGATCAGTAAAATCCAAAGCCATGAACACTGAGCCTCTTTAGTGAATGTTGTGTAAAAATAATATATTTTTTTAACTGTTATGAACAAACCTTCTTGAAATCAAAAAAGTAATGTATCCATGTGTACATTTATTGACTTCAGTCCAGTGGGCCTTTTTCTTTAGTCCAGTTAAGTGCCAGGGGACTAGTTTCATTAAGAAAATGTCCTGGTAGATTGTTCAGCTGTCCTTGTAATTTGGTTAAACAACTTTGTATTTCAGTGTTAGTTTTCAAATAGATCAAAGTGGTGATACAAGATGATACGGTGTAGTCAAGGTGATATATTTTAATAAGGAATGAATTGACAGTGTGCATTTGAAAAATGAATATTAGAATTTTATTTAATTACTGAGCCTGCTGTGTAACAGGAAATTTCAGCTCGTGCTACCACCGACTAGCTTGAAAAGTTTCAATGATGTTTTTGCTGCTGCTTCTATGCCCCTTGCATTTAATGGAATTAAACAATTGTGTGTTACTTAATCTAATGTTTTAATATATTTCCATGTTGGGTTTAGTCAAATAGTCATAAGTATTTACTGGACATATTGAACACACTTATGGCATTAATCTCTACAATACTTCTACCAAAAGCTGGAGGATTAAATTTACTAGCTCTAGCTGGATTTGTAAAATGTGGTACCAAGGTGTCTTACTGCCCAGAAATGCCCAGTTGAAGAGTGAATTCCTGCGTTCACTAGCTCCTTGGAAAGGAGTATATAGTGGGATCTTGTACCTAGACCTTGACTGAGAGCTGGATATTTCTTATTTTCTTTTAGCTAGTTAGATGTGTAATAAACTTTCTGGCTGCTGACAGGAAGCACAAGTATTCTTTCTCCTTTCTCTCCCGTCTCAGCCTGAATTCAGAATAATATGGCTAAAAGCTTTTTCTCTACAAAGACAGAGCTTTTTTCTCTGCAACACCTCTCAGCTTTATTGGTGCTGTGAAGGGAATGTTTGTATTGGTTTGCTGCAGTATTCATTTTCTTAATCCTTTCCCCTGTGCCTGCCTCTGTTGCAGATCAGAGACTTTCTAAACTTGCAGCAAAACAAAATTGAAGATTCTTGCCAGTTTCCTAGGGAATGAGGGGGGAAAAAAGTACAAACACGTTTCGGCCAGTTTTTTGGCCTACAGAAGGTTTGGAAGGCTCAGAGCAGCAGTGGCTCTAGAACCATCTGTTTGTGGACTTAAGACGATAACAGAACATTGGTTTAATCTCAGTCTTCCAAATACAGTTTTTTCAACCATGGGAACTAGAGAGAAACTTTTATATAAAAAATAAGTTTACATTTTGTGCCAACATTTACTACACATTTGGGAAAGTTTCCTATGTGGTCTAAGTGAGTGGGTTTTTCAAGCCAAAACTTCACACATGTAGTGTGCTTGCTGAACTTTATGCTGTATATTTTTTTCTAACTTTGAAACTGGTGCCTACATACTTATGAACTGTTAAGTGAACATCGTATCACAATAGAGATAAAAAAGGGGTGTGTGTTCTACAGATTAAAGTTCATCTCATTCTTAGAGCAGATCCTGCATAGGATAAATCAGTTTTGCCTTACCTGTACCTTGTATATATTATCCTCCCTCTGTTCCTCCAAAAAATAAAAATAAAATGGAGATTACTCTGGCAGCATTATTCCTGAGAAATAATGAAATGAAATGAAAATAAAAATGAAATGTATCATATTTGTGCCATTTATTAAGTTAACATTTTCAGAGTAAATTGAATATGTTCACACTGAGTTTCAAACTGTAGCCATTTTGGCTTTAGTTGCATATTAAATTTAGAAGACTTTTTAAAATAACATAATTTTTTTGTGCATCTCTTACATGAGGGAATTTTGATTGAATTTTTATAATTTCTTTGGGCAAAAATCAAAAATTACATTTACAACCTGAGCTGAGATTTTTGTGTGGTCATGTGACCGAACTGCAACACATGCTGTGCTTCTTACTGTAATTGCACATTTTGACCTGCATAGCTATTTCTTATTTTGTCTTGTATTCACATTCCTATGTCTATATAATTTAGTCACTGTATATGCTGGCATTTTTACATCTGGTAAAATAAGAAATAACTATGTAGATATGTATTGGCAGTTCTACAGCTCTGAATTTAGATTTATCCTTCTTTGGTGCACTGGGTTTTACAACACACTAGGTAGGTGTGATTATTTGCACTATCATTTTTTTATTTACATAGCTAGGCTCCCTTACTCCTTTTTAAAACATTTATGTGAACGCATGTCAAGGTGGATAAAAATTAAAAAAAAAAAAAATTAAATGGATTTTTTTTTTTAAATCGGATTTTTAAATGTATTTGATTCATATTTGATTTTTTTTTTAAAGATAGTTTTAATTTAAGATATGTTGGTGCTCAAGGGTACCATCATGGAATAGGGATTATAACTTCTAACTGTACTATTTGAAACAATATATTCATGTAACTTCTTTTTAGAAAAGTTTTATAAATAGGTCACAACAGCTGATATTATGGGGGTCATAGAGGCTCCTCTATAGATTGGTAAAGATTAAAGAAAATCACTCTACCCAATAGGACTGTACTCAATCTAGAACAGGGGTGGGCAAAATACGGCGCATGGGCCAGATCTGGCTCACCAGGCACTTTCATCCAGCCTGTGGAGCCCCCCAGTGAATTGTGCCCTGCCCAGTCCTTCTGCCCATGAGGGTGGGAGGCACCTCCACCTGCCCCCAACATACCCTATTATGCCTTGCTCCCACCCTCATGGGCGGAAGAGCTGGTGTGGCTAGCATGGGGAGGGGCTGCTGCTGCAGGCTTCCCTGGCGTTTGGCTCCCTCTAGGCAGCAGGTGGGAAAGTGAGGGGTGGGGTTGGGGCTGGCTGCAGCGCAGAGCTCTTGCCCAGGGGGGTGGCAGCAGAGCTTGGGGGGGGTGGTATGGGGACTCCCCCACACTTCTGCCTCCCCCACCCCCCATTACATGCAGCCCTGGCAGGCAGCAGCAGTGGCACATACTCTGTTGTGTTCTGGTGTCTGGTTCTGGCCAGTGTTGCAAGGAGCATAGCCCTCACTGGGCCATTTGTTTCCCTAGCACTCCCACATTCACGGGGCACAGGATCCAGGTACTAGTGCCCCCACCTGCTGCTGTACCATGGGGTGAGTGTGAGGGGGGAGGGGCCCACACCTCTCCCATCCTTCCTCACACTGCACAAACCACATGCAGAGACACGCACACACCACTCCCCCAGTGTTGCCTGCATTGACTGCAGGAGAGTCCAGTGTGTTTCAGAGACATGCATGTTCCAGAGCCACATACCCACACACCACAAATGCCACAACCCCCTAACATACCCAAAGCCCTCCCACATACACACAGCCACACACACACACCCCCACAATACACAAGACAAATGATTTATTTTTTTGTTATGTGCTTACCTCTACAGACAGTACACCAACACAAATCATAACAAATAATTCAAGTATGTTAGTAGGTGTTTGACTTTTAGAAGGATTTGTGTTTTTCTGGTTCTAAGATGGCAACCTCCTCCCCCCTCGCAGGAGTATTTCCAGGGAGCAAGGAGAAGGACTTCTGGTGGCAAAGGTTAGGGCTTAGGTGTGGGACTTCCGGTCCCAAGTTGGCAGCCAGGGGGCAGGGCACCTGTTAAGGGGCAGGGCTACCCATGTGACCCTCAACAGCTCACCAACCCTCATTAAGCAGCCTGCTGCCCAAAATAATTGCCTGCCCCTGGTCTAGAAGATCCCATTAAGAGTCTCTGTGATGCTTAGTTTCAGTTTTCAAACTGTGGATTTGTGTT